TAAGGATAAAGGAGTAAAGTGTAATAAGAGAACACCTTCTAAGAGTTATTAATTTGGGTCTAACAAGGTAGATTTATGGAAAAGTTGTATAGGGTATAAGCAGGTTGTTCTGACTTAAGGAAAACATTGTAAGTCTGTGAGCATTGACTCCTGAATCCACATAGTGATTTCAACCCAAACATGAAGTAGTAGAATAATACGCACATGGGCTATGTGGAAATGGGTTCTTAGGAGAGGGATGATATTTAAACAACTATTACATAGAATTGAGTTGACATAACAGGTTACAGAAATAGAGTTTTAGCAAAGGCAGGAATAAAGAAATCTAGAAGAGGGACAACAGAGAGAAATACTGTGAAAAAAGGAGGGAAAAATCAAAATATGTAGAGAGGGCAGACAAAAGGAAAAGCTTTACAGACTCTTCCTTCAGGAAGTAGCAACAGAGAGCCTCCATTAGGTGGCATTAAGCCTGACATTGGAGTTAATACTTAAGAATTCTAGTCTATGAAAAATCACATGTTTTACAGGAGGTTTGATTTGTTCTACTGTTATTTAAGTTTTATATTATTGGGTTTTAACCTGACAAACATTGGGCAAAATAGCTGTCACAAAGCCACACTTCCAGCCCTTCAGTCTGTATTTTAAACTTCACAAAACACAAACATACAGAGCACCAACTGGCTTGAAGTATAACATATTTTAAAAACGATTCTTCACCTACATATATTATCTTTCACACCTAAGAAAGAGATATGGTGAAGGAAAAATCAAGACCTAAGATGTCTCCATATACTCCTTAATAGAAAATGTTCTGGGGAGTGAAGAAAATGTCCTGGTCTGTGGGAAAATTCAATTCCTGTTCTTATGTTTAAATTTTAAATTTATTATTAATGCATTTTGGAATATATGATGTGAGTCTGTGGGTATGAATGATATGTCCTACATATGAAGTTCAGAGAACAACTTCATGGAGTCAGTTATTTCCTTCCACATTTACATGGGCCCAGGGGCTCGCACTCAGTTCCCCAGGCTTGAGAAGGAAGGAGGAAGCACTGTTGTCTTCTGAGCTCTATCAGCCACATTAAGGTTTGATTTTTTTCCATTGCAGGTTAGTAATGTGGAATTAATATAAATATCTGAATATGCTTAAAAATGATATGTTCATTAGTGATCTTGGCTACAATATCTGCTTTCAGGATCCTGAGGTGGCTTTTCTCCACGATTTTCCTCCAAGAATGTCACAGCAAATACTTACTTAACCTACCACCCTGATTCTATAATTAGCATTTTACATGTTTGCCTTGTCATAGGTTTCTCTCGCCATCAGTCTTTATTTTCAATTTGTACATTTCAAAGTAAATTGCAATTACCGGTACACACCACACTTAACATTTCATTCTGCTTAGAGCTGGAGCTCCATGTGTATTCTTGGTTCTTTCTGTTTGTTTGTTTTTTGTGAGGTAAAATTTACACATGGTGAAATGTACACCTCCTAAGTATATAGAGTTTTGCCAAATGCCCTGATCAGTATAATGCAAACCTTTAGCTAAGTACAGATGATTATATCATCCCAAAAGTTCCCTCCTGTCCCTTCCCAGTGATTCCTGTGCACATTCTGAGAGACAACCCTGCAGCTTTTCCCCCACTATCAATTAGTTTCAAGTGATCAACTATAGGTTAGTTGGTGTTTCTTCCTCAGAAGTTACTGGTTGGATTAAAACACACTGTGAATATTTTGCCCAAGATTAAACACATACATAATCCATTTCCTTTTAGTTTTTAGTATTATGATATTTTTGTACATTCCTCAAGGATGTGATCTATTTTGATCATATTCAGACTTAACTCCTCCCAGGACCACCCTCTTTTCTCTAACCCCCACTCTGTGTGTTTTCAGTTTGGTTGCCTGTTTTGCCTTGATTTCCAAATTGACTCTGATCCCCACCTAAAGCATAGTGTCATATTGTAAAAAAAAAAAAAAAAAAAGTACATGCAAGTAATAATATACAAATAATATACAGACTGAACAAGTTATATTTAGCAATATATGTATATAAATATGTATACATACATATAATTACAATTAGTGAATAAACAGGCCATGAATTGGAAAGAGAGCAGGGATGGGGTTGGAGAGAGGAAAAAGAAGGAGTAAGTGATGTAATTATAAACTCAAAAAATGAAAGAATTTTTAAATATAGAATGCCTTAATGGATTAATAATAGAAAAGTATTTACTCACAATGTACTTAAAAACAATGATGTACCTTTTATAAATCCAAGCAAAGAATTACCCCTAATGCTACTTTCTTACCTTCTCTCCTCTCTTGATCCTTTTGTAAATTCTGTCTTTTAATGCGTTCTCACTCCGTTTTTAATTCTATGCTCCATTCTCAATATGTTTTTTGCCATGTGTTCTTTGGATTATGATTTTTTTATGTAAAAGCTAAAGTAAGAATATGAATACTATGAAAAAGGAAGTGAAATTTCATAAAGGGACCAAATCCCAAGAACTGAGAGCTCAGCACACAAGGAATGATTTGTTGGATGTGTTGAGCTACTTGAAATAGTGAATTAGACTTCTCTTTATAAAGAGAATAGTTTTATATTTATATATATGAACATATATCCAACTGGATCCTATATATGCCAATCATACCCTCATAAACACAATAATAATATTCTACTAGTTCAGGACATTTGTTTGTATGTATGTATGTATTGATGTGTGTATATGTATAGTATATGCATGTTTAATGTGCAATTGTCTACATAAATATAATCCAGAATTATGGGGTTGGAGTTATTAAGGGAGGTTGTTGTTACTGCTAGTTTAGGTCTTTGTATTTGAAATCTCAGCAGAATTAATAATTATGATGTATAAAGTTCGGCAAGGATGGATTTCCTCACCAAAGAGAGGACTAATTTCATCTTCCCATTATGTCTTTCCCAGGCTCTGCATGAGTTGGATGATGGCCTGCAGTTCAGTAGTAATTGCTTTTCTTTGCTAGCTCTACTGATCAAAATTCTGTCACCTTCCAGAAACATGCCCACAGAGCTCTACCAGCTTCAGACAACCCCTTAGTACATCTTCCAGAACACCCAACAGAACCCTACCAGCTTCAGATAACCCCTTAGTTTGTCTTCCAGAACCCCACCCCCGACCCCTGCCAAGAGAGACCTACCAGCTTCAGGTAACTCCTTAGTCCATCTTCCAGAAACAGTCCCATAGAGCCCTACCAACCTCAGACAACCCCTTAGCCCAGTTAAGTTGAAATTTAAAGTTTACTATCACACATTCTCTATCATTCTCCCAAAAGCTGGGTTTGTATTGAATACCCAGGGGTCCTGAGGACTGTGCTACATCTGGCATGGGATATCTGAGGGGAAAAAAAAATCTACATACACTATGCTCTTATGTCTATTAACTTTATTCCTCTAATACAAAATTCTATCAATATAGCTATAGCTCCGTCAGGCACTCAGGACAAGAATAAATATAGATACACCAAGCTCTTTATCTATCTACTTTATTTCTCTGGGATGAAATCCCAGACATACATAACTTCCGTTCCATCCAGTTCCCTAGCTCATAGTCCTGCTAACAACTAAAGTCCTATGCTTCCAGCCTCATCTTCATCCTCTGTTTCCTCATTCTCCATTTCCACTACTCTCTACTCCTGCCACTCAGAAAACTCTGAGATCTGATTACCCTCTGTGAAACCTCTGTCTTCCTCTCTTTTCTCTCCCCACACTGTTCTGCTCCTTTTCAAAGAAAAAGCCTGTCTTCCTCTCTCTGACCACACAGTTCTCTGCCCCCTCCACCCTACCTTCCACCTTGATATGTAAAAACCTCTATTGTTCTTGGTCAGTTGCTCTGGAGAGTCACTAGGCCTCAAGGTGAGGAGGTGGTATGAGCTTCATTTGCACAAGAAGCAAAGCTATGTGTCTCCAGCCAGCTTGTCTCCTAGGCTCTGCTTGGGAGTAAGCAACCTAGAAGTTCAGTAGGTTTGGAAATATTTGGGCACACAAGAATTTCATAGCAGAAGACAGCTGAAATATTAAAGGCTGGATAGCACCAAATATTCATAATAAATGGCTTGCCTTTTGACAGACCCTTGGCCGGTCAAAGTATAGCTTTAATACACAGTTGAATCTCTATAATATATTCTTGCAGGCTGCGAGAGGGTTTGGTAGTGAAAAAGCAAGAGAAGAAAGAAAAGTCTGACCTCCCACCTTCACCATGCTTATCTTCATCTGGAAACCTACAGGGATCATCTGCAACTGACAATAACATGCTCTTCTTGATCAGAATGTACTGTTTTCATACAATGAAGTGTGATCAAGCCAGAACAGAATATCATGGATCTCCATATCTACACACTTACCTGGGGTAGTTTTGTTTTGCTTCTCATGGTGACATCTGTTCCCTTCATGTCGCATATATGACATACTCTTACCATTAAACTCAGAACTGAGTTCTGTGTAAGCAAACAATGGAGCAGTTATCATATTTTAAATGTTCAGGGTGGCTTGGAAACCTACTGGAACCCTTTGATTTTTGACTTACAATGATATAAACTTTTCATACAACCCCCAAAGTTATCCCCTACTAGGCTTTTCCATGTCTTGATACAGCAGTGCCTGTTGCAGAGACACCTCATTTGTGCAGTGCTGTGTGCCTTCAGCTGCGTGCGCCAAACCTCAGATTGCAGACAAAAGAAAACTCCATCTAGGATTTTCTTACTTCATTCCATTTATAAAAGAAGGAATAGAGAAGTGGGATCTGCCCAATTGCCATACCAATATCAGTATTTAAACAATTACCTTGATTTGTAATTCCCTTTTTATTTATCATTACTGATAAGATAATATCCAAGATAAGATTAATGAGACTGTAGGCAAACGTGGATTATATTGCAGATATTCATTTTGATTTAAGTACATAAATAGGGAATAACATTTAAGGATCAGATTTTCAGAGTAAGATATTAAAGAGATTTTAAAAAGCATTCTGGTGTCTAACTTAGAAGCCATTCTGTCTTGCCTAAAAACTGTGAGATGACAACATCATAAGGAATTTTAATGTTGTGGGTGGAAATAAATGAAGTGATTCTCTAAAGAGCATTATGTCTCAAATAAATATAGGTATAGTAACTTACACTCTGGCATTTTCCTTATCTTTAGTCAAAAGATGACAAATTTATAGGATGTTGGCACAAGAGTGAGAGAGAGTAGAACTCTGTGGATGGGTATAGGGTCGTCACATGCTTATTCTGAGACAGGAAACCCAGAAGAAATGGGACATCCTACAGGAACTTGCCATGTTGAAATCGAACCTTTTTTTTTTTCTTCCTAATGCTGTTGGGGTGAAAGAGGAAAAGATGAGATGTATGGACAAAATCAGAGATGTCCTGAAGGGAGAACTTATTTTCCAAGATGGCATGTATTTCAAGTTGTTTCCTGGTCAGACCATGGTGGATCGTGTAATGCATAGGAGGTATATCATTGTATTTTATTTACTGAAGCCTGAGCTGGCACTGGTCTCTGGATTAGTTTATGCAGGGTGGATAAAACACTGCTGTAATCCAATGTGTCAACATCTTTATAGTTACATAGCCCTGGCAAAGGTTAAAAATACACAGTGAAAGAACAGTGGGTAAGACAATGCTTCCCACACCACCCACATACATGCTTCATGAATTAGTTATTTTGCAAAATAAATCCTTAAGCATTTATATTCTGTTGTGTCCTGCAGTGTACTAGTCAGTGAAACAACAGACAAATACACATCTGATTGCATCATTCCAGTTCCTAGAATCTAAGAACTTAGCATTTTAACAGTATGGGGACATCAGTAGAGCAGCTGTGGCTGTTATCTGTTCATTGCTTTCTCCCAAGAGGATTCTCTTAATTCCATTGACAGAACTTCATCCATGTTCTTCTTAAAATTGTTGTCTTGCTTAAAGTAAAAGCATGGACCCTCAGAGTGCCTCCAAGCCCGAGAAAGACCCTCAGATACACCAGGCTGCAAAGTGGGTGGCTAATATTTATATTCTTTGCATGAAAGAATGCAGCCTCCTGAATCCAATAGTCCTTGGGACACTGGGATGAATGTTGATGCTCCCATGGGCTAGCAGTGTTCCACAAGTTCATCTGTTGGAAACTTGGTCCTGAATGCAAGTGTGGTAGGAGGTAAGATCTTGACAGGTGATTAGGTCCTGAAGCTCTGCTTCTTGAAGAGAATAATGCCATTATTGTGGACAAGAACTAGTGATTACAGGAGGGACATCATGGCAAAGGAATAGCTTAACTTTTCCTCTCTCATTCACATATTTTTTCCTGACACCTCCATCTTGGTACATTGTAACACAAGACCCTTGCCAGATGTGGGCTAATCTGTTTAGGATTTCCCAACACCCCTAAACAGTAAACAGTACATTTGTTTTCTTTATAAATTTCTCACTCTCCAAGGTTTTCCTCTGCTATTCTCTTACATGTGAACCTACACACACACACTTGCCTCTAAACATTTATCTACAGACACACACATCAATTAATTCTAATTTTCTTTTCTAATGAACTTTTCCAATCCAGACCTAATTGAATTTCTACAAAGTTATTATTTAGACAAATATTCTCTTAGGTTTATTGTGTGGCCTGCACAGTAAAGATGGATCTGGAATATTTCCCCGGATGCCTGTGTGCTAAAGGCTTGGCTTGTCAATGGCACTACTGGGAGGTATGGACAGTTTGAAGGGATGGAACATCATGGCTGTCTTTTAGGTCATTGGATGACCTTCCTTAAAGGGAATATAGGAAATAGAGCACATTTCTCTCTCTCTCTCTCTCTCTCTCTCTCTCTCTCTCTCTCTCTCTCTCTCTCTCTCTCTCT